CTCTCTCTCTCTCTCTCTCTCTCTCTCTTGCGGGTAGGTGACCCTCATGGAGGGATCACACGTGAACCATACAGAGACTGAGTCAAGCCGCAAAGAACGAGAAGATCGATGTACGAACGAAAGCATGTAACAGCATCATGCAGCAACATCGCTATGCCAAACAGGGCCATGTAGCAAAGGTTCCTCGATTCCGACCTCTTGCCGGAAGAAACAAGGGAAAAAGCAAAGAAGTTTAGTTTTCTGAAGGAAAAAAGTTGGGAAGAAAGCTTGTTTCTGTACAAATTTGGCTGCTTACTTGCTGCCTGTTTTTGCTCACCTACTGTTTATGGTTTTTTTTTTTTTTTTTTTTTTTTTTTTTTCTCTGTTTTTTTCTAGTGCATGCCCACACTGAGGGTACGGTCACACAAGCAACTCATGGAATGTGTCTGGTGGTTATCAAGGCGTTCAGGAAGTCTCTTTTTTTCCTCTTTTTTTCATTTGTTTTTTTTTTTTTTTTTTTTTTTTTTTTGACACTGGTGTTTTGACTTGTTATCCTGTGCGGTTTTGTGTCTCTTCTGGACATCAGCCTTTGGCAGTCGTAGAAGGTGGGCTTGCATTTTGCATCATCTTCATTGTGCTTCGGTTCTTTGCCACCGTCATGATCAATGTGGTAAGTCTGGAATTGCTTTCCCCCATTCTTTTCTCTCTCTTCGAAACATTGTTCAGCAGATCTGCAATCTCTGATACAGGTAAGAGTGTGCCGTTGATTGGCGATGAGAGTTTTGCAAAACTTTGCTTGGTTGACAAAGTCTCACTTAAAACCACCAGTACCTACCGGTTGGGGCGGCCATTAACGCGGAAGCCGAATCGGCGTATGTACATTCTTACCACCAACGATAATGAGAAAAGCTACGATTTGTTTCAGCTAATTTATGAAGATCATCTCTTTTTTTTTCTAGCAAATCCTTGTTTTTTCGAAGCATCCTGTATTTCAGCAGATAAAGATTGATCTAAACTCCGGTCGGAATTCATTCGAGGCGAGGGGAGTAGGAAAAATGTGCTAGCTACTTGTGGTTTAAGAATAGCCTCTCCCCAACTCCAAGTGAAAAAAATGAGTCATCAACTGTCAACTGCAATTGGTTCTCCCAATGCGTAGCCGGTAAGCACAAGAGCATGTTTGTTTCCAATTCACTCTCCTTTTGCAAATGCATCACTTTTTTTTTTTTTTTTTTTTTTTTCCCGTCCTCTACTCTGAAGGTGCATCGCTGACATTTTGTAGAGTCCACTTCCTCCTTAGTACATTGGATGTCCCATAGGGTTTCGTCTCCCCATCCACCCTTGCTCTTCCCCCATGCAAATCATCCTCTTGAGTTTGCCTGCTATTTCCCTGCATCCCATACTCTTTTGTCACTGAATGGTTGGACCTGCTCGAAACTACACTTATACTCTATATGTGAATTTTGATATGTGAATTTTGAACGAAGAATATTGAATCATCCACTTATATTTGTTTAACTCAGAAGACTACACTTACTCTATATTTGAACAAAGAATGTTGAATCATCCACTTATATTTGTTTAATTGAATTAATTCAGAATTTATATAAGAAAAGGAGTTTTCCCAGGGAGGTTAATAGGTTATATCAAAGAAATCAGATTTTTTGTAAAGAGAAAATTCTTSCTTAATAGTTTGAATTTCTTTACTTGCTTCATATAAGCTTTTTTAAGGGCTTTCCGAACCCTCTGAAGCAACCATTGGCGTAGTTTAAAATAAACTTTTTATCTTTTTTTTTTTTTTGCTATCATTTTTTGTGTCTTAGACTTATTATAGAGGGAATGAATATGGAATTTCTTTTGTTAGCATTTAATAAAATTGCTAATAATAATGCAGGAATGCTACATTTATACTTCAGGAGGGAATTTTCAATTTTACAACTCCTCTTGTAGTGCGTGGTGGTCCTGGAGGAGTAGGAAGACAATTAGGTGCTGAACACTTTTTGAAAGATTAGAATCTTATTTTCAATCAGTACCAGGACTCCATGTCTAGATTTTGAGGATGCTCAGTAATGAGTGACAATGATAGCTTGTTGTCTAAATTAGCGTCTTACCTCGGAAGCTGAACACTTTCAGACGAGCAAACATGGTGCATTCTAATTCAATGCAAGTAATATATAATATATTTGACGATATATAGATGAATATTATGATCCATATTTTGCCTCCCTGACAAGCGTATCTTGTTATAGAACGCCTACCTGCTTCAATTTGTCTAGATGTGGCTCTAAAGCTTGTAAAGCAAACTTCCCAAAAACGATCGAATTCCCTCTAGTAGAATAAGAAATCCCTTTCATTCTTCCTCTATGATGTTTACAAAACTTAGTTTTACGAGGAGGTTAATCGGTAATCGGGATACTTGCAAGCGGACGCCTTCCGGGTGGTTCCGCACGTGCGGCAGACCGCCGGACCGGACCCGCGCGGCGCACGAATGTGCGCCCGACGACCAGTTACGCCCCACCCCCCCCCAAAAAAAAACAATTGGCCCCGTCCGTCTGGTCCGCGGGGAGGGTGCCGCACGCGGCAAAGCGGACCGGACCGGACGAGCGTCCGGTCCGTATGCTTGCAAGTATGGTAATCGGTCATCGAAAACAGTTTATTACCTCTACTTTAAAACCGGACATGAAATTTTACATGACACTTATTAATAGTTATTATGTAGTAGCACACTTTCATTACGTACTTTCTACAAGAGCCGTATTCGCTCTAGAACCGCATTTCCTCTTTTTGCAGGGTTCTACAATTGGATAGGCTGACAGGCCTCGTTCCCTGCCTCATCTGCTCAGTGTGTCGCGTTCGCCATGAAATCTCTCCCGTCCATTTTGTTGTACAGTGTCCCCCAACCTGCACCAATCCGGAAAACTGCAACTGAGTACCTTTCACTACAGCTGTACTCCCTCTCCCTCAACCATACCACAAAGTAAAGTAATTCCCTCCTTTTCGATGTTTGCTCCTGGAGCCGATCGCTTATGTCCCTTTATCCTCCCTGGACCCCTCCCTGGAGAGTCCTGGCTATTCTCACAAGGGGCCCTCGTCTCCTTCGTCTCCTTGATCATTCAGACTTCACGATGTCCTTTTCCTCCTTCTGAGCTTATCTCGTATGATGCTTACACTTGGCGCCCCAGATGGTCCACCCGCATGCCAGCTTTACCAGTCTCCCACCTAAAGCTTCCCTCCTCAGGCATGTCTTGAAGGCTGCTTTCTTATTGTTGTTGGACTGAGTCTTTGCAGCGAGTCTCTTCCGTCACAACCACCTGAAGGACTTTCCCTCTATTGATCTCCAAGTTTTTGTCACAAAGCTTGCTGCTGCCTAAGAGCAGCCACCCGTCGTGGAGGATTAACCAAAACGTGAGGAAGGTGAGCAGCCCCTCGTCGTGGAGGATTAGCCAAAACCTGAGGAAGGTGAGCAGCCACCCGCCGTGGAGGATGAAACAAAACCTGAGGAAGGTGAGCAGCCACCCGTCGTGGAGTATTAACCAAAACCTGAGGAAGGTAAGCGAGTCACACAGGAAGGGGACACTATTCAAATAACTTGAAATAAGTATCAGGATAACACTATTCCATCCCAGCCAGATTCGCAGTGGAATTCGTTGCACTAAGCTCATGCTTGTTGTTGAAGGTCGGACCGAATACGGTTTGTATTAACTTGTATTTACTCATTTCAAGTTGTATTACTCACCAAGCGCAGTCGAGATTTTTTTTTTTTTTTTTTTTTTTTGCAGTCGAGATTTCAAACTGGCGAGGAGAAAGATTCTGCCATTGCCGTCTAAGGACTCTGAAGTGCATGCCTGTAATGAGATACATGCACTGTCGATCCTCACAGAGAATTGATGGCCACAAAGATTAACGCAATACAGCGAGCACAGGCCCTAAAAATTCTAAAATTCCATGGCAAAGGCTGATAATGCCCACCGATTTGGACACCGGGCGGGGGTTACTGTTCAGAGACCAGTGTGCGATTCTCGACCTTGTAGGTCAGTGAACATAGGCCAGTGTTTTTTTGCATTTGTTTTCTGAATTAAGGGGAATAGCACCCCCTAGCATTCTTCCATCCTTCATGATTGGAACTCTTGACCTGTTTGATTGATGGTCAGGTGTGTACGATACAGCCGCATGCTAGCGGTGCGCTGTTTGGTTGGTGGTTGCCATTCTTTTCTTTTTTTCTATTTTCAGAAAAAGGGGATGTCTACATTGCTTCCACAATTTGTCAACAGGCTGGGGACGTCACAATCACAATGCCACCCACGGGATGAATACTGGGGCAATTACCTTTACCTAGCTTTGGCTAGTTGGACACGGGGTCCCGGCGTCCCTTCGATCCAATCCAGCCAATGCAGTTCTGTGAAACAAAGCTGAGCATCCTAACTAACAAAGTAATGGTCTAACAAAGTAGCCTGAAAAGAACACAAACTGAGCTCTCCTACCTACCAAATAAATAAATAATCACTTTCTATCTGTGATAGCAGCCGGACGGCTCGGGATGACTCAGATTGGCCCGGGTGGCGTGGCCGGGCTGGGTCCTTGCAAGGTCCCGGGCAGTCCCAGTGCAAGAAAAAAAAAAAAAAAAAAAAAAAA